ATTGGGTTTACGTCATGGGGCTTCGGGAGATCCGAATGGGAAGAGCCAGTTGACGTGCATGCGGCGTCCCAATGTGCGCGTATGTTGTGCACACACCAACACCCACGCACATACACACAAACACCGAACATGGATTGGGTTTACGTCATGGGGCTTCGGGAGACCCGAATGGGAAGAGCCAGTTGACGTGCATGCGGCGTCCCAATGTGTGTGTATGTTGTGCACACACCAACTCCCACGCACCTACACACAAACACCGAACATGGATTGGGTTTACGTCATGGGGCTTCGGGAGATCCGAATGGGAAGAGCCAGTTGACGTGCATGCGGCGTCCCAATGTGGTGTAAGGTTGCGTGCACACCACCCAACAAACCCACGCAACAGACACACAAACGCCGAAACATGGATTGGGCTTACTTCAGGGGCTTCGGGAGATCCGTATGGGAAGAGCCAGTTGATGGAACGTGCATGCGGCGTCCCAATGTGTTGTGTATGTTGTGCACACACCAACACCCACGCACATACACACAAACTCCGAACATGGATTGGGATTACGTCATGGGGCTTCGGGAGATCCGAATGGGAAGAGCCAGTTGACGTGCATGCGGCGTCCCAATGTGTGTGTATGTTGTGAACGCACCAACACCCGCGCACCTACACACAAACACCGAACATGGATTGGGTTTACGTCATGGGGCTTCGGGAGATCCGAATGGGAAGACAGTTGAACGTGCATCGGCGTCCCAATGTGTGTGTATGTTGTGCACTCACCAACACCCACGCACATACACACAAACACCGAACATTGATTGGGTTTACGTCATGGGGCTTCGGGAGATCCGAATGGGAAGAGCCAGTTGACGTGCATGCGGCGTCCCAATGTGTGTGTATGTTTTGCACGCACCACACACACGCACCTACAAACACACAAACACCGAACATTGATTGGGTTTACGTCATGGGCTTCGGTGTGAGTGATCCGAAATGGGAAGGTCCAGTTGACGTGCATGCGGCGTCCCAATGTGCGTGTACGTGTTGTGCAACACCACACCCCACGCACATACACGACAACACACCGGAAACATGATTTGGGTTTACGTCATGGGGCTTCGGGAGATCCGAATGGGAAGAGCCAGTTGACGTGCATGCGGCGTCCCAATGTGTGTGTATGTTGTGCACACACCAACACCCACGCACATACACACAAACACCGAACATGGATTGGGTTTACGTCATGGGGCTTCGGGAGATGCGAATGGGAAGAGCCAGTTGACGTGCATGCGGCGTCCCAATGTGTGTGTATGTTGTGCACACACCAACACCCACGCACCTACACACAAACACCGAACATGGATTGGGTTTACGTCATGGGGCTTCGGGAGATCCGAATGGGAAGAGCCAGTTGACGTGCATGCGGCGTCCCAATGTGTGTGTATGTTGTGCACACACCAACACCCACGCACCTACACACAAACACCGAACATGGATTGGGTTTACGTCATGGGGCTTCGGGAGATCCGAATGGGAAGAGCCAGTTGACGTGCATGCGGTGTCCCAATGTGTGTGTGTGTATGTTGTGCTTCCTTTGATGCGTTGTGAGAAGGCTACCCTCTCGCGCCGTTTCTCACTGCGTTTTTGTATATCTCCGCCTCGCGTGCGAGGCGGTGGCTACGGGCACCAGCTGCAGAGACCAGGAGCACGAGGCCAGAACGGGATTCGGGAAGACCTGCTCTTTCTTCTCTCAGTTCCCTCCTCCCATCTCCTCCCATCTCCTCCCATCTCCTCCTCCTCCTCCTCCTCCTCCTCCTCCTCCCATCTCCTCCTCCTCCTCCTCCTCCTCCTCCTCCTCCTCCTCCTCCTCCTCCCATCTCCTCCTCCTCCTCCTCCTCCTCTCTCCTCCTCCTCCTCCTCCTCCTCCTCCTCATCTCCTCCTCCTCCCATCTCCTCCTCCTCCTCCTCCTCCTCCTCCTCCTCCTCCTCCTCCCGAACCACGAGGCGAGAACGGCTTTCGGGAAGACCTGCTCCTTCTTCTCTCAGTTCCCCTACTCCTGCAACTACGCCGCCGACTACTACGACGACGGCGACTTCACCGCCCACGACCTGTGCTGCGCGTGCGGCGGCGGGAGCGGAGGCAGCTGAGCCGAGAGGTGAGTGCCGCGTCACGTGGCCCTGGGCGGAGGGAACGGGGAACTTGGCATCGCTCGGACGTGTGCATTTTTTCTCGGCGAGAACCATCGAGGACCATCCTGGACCATCGAGCAAAAAAAGCACGCACGAGACCGAAAAATGCACGCGAAATGGACGTCCGAGCGATGGTAAGGGGTGCCTCGGTGCTCGAGGGTGAGGCTCTCGGACGCGCTCGGCGCTGCTCGGCGGCGTCCCGGCCTCGGGGTGCTCTCCAGCAGCTGCGCCTCCTCGAGGGCGCTCCGGGGGACGCCCCGGACCGCCCCGGGCGGCCGCCCGAGGCCCTCGAGGCACGGCCCGGAGCCCGAGCTGGGAGAGCCGGGGGAGGGCGAGGAGGGGCAAGGGAGAGCGGGGAAGGCAGGGGAGGAGGAGGGGAGGAGGGAGAGGGAGGAGGAAGAGGGAGAGGAGGGGAGAGGGAGAGGGAGAGAGAGGGAGGAGGAAGAGGGAGGAGGGAGAGGGAGGAGGGGAGGAGGGAGGAGGGGGGAGGGAGGAGGGGAGGAGGGAGGAGGGGAGGAGGGAGGAGGGGAGCAGGGGAGGAGGAGGGGAGGAGGGAGAGGGAGGAGGGAGAGGGAGGAGGGCACCTGCGCACGGGTGGGGCAGGGGCGGAGGGGGGAAGCTCGGGGGGGGGGGGACGGCGGAGCTCCTGGCGCGAGGCGCGGCCAGCTTCCCGAGCCGTTCTGGCGCTGCCCCCGGGGGGCCCTCGGCCCGGGGGGCCGTCCTGCCAGAGATCCAACGCCTTGAACGAGTCAGGACGGAGGTTTCTCTTATTTTTCGGCCTCGCGGGGCCTTATTTTTCGACCTCGAGGTTTTTCCTATTTTTCGGCCTCGAGGGGCCCTCGCCGGGCCCCGGGACCGTCAAGAAACGACTCGGGATGAGAAACCGGTCCCGGGGAATCGGTCGAGGTCTCTATAGGGGGTCGAAATGGTGCAAAAATTATCGCGTCGAGGTCTCTAGGGGGTCGAGGCTTCTGGGGACCCCGCATGATCTCTGGGCCGCTTCTCCCGGGGCGGCGTCCCAGAGGCGCTATCCTCCTCCATCCTCGTCCCTCCAGGGGAGGGACGAGGACGGAGGAGGAGGACCCCAGACCCCCGACGTAATGATTTTTTCATTACGTCGACCCTTTCCCCATGACCGGCTTTGCATCCTGAGTCGTTTTTAGACGCTCCCGAGGCCCGGCGAGGGCCGCCGGAGGCCGAAAATTAGGAAAAACCTCCCGTCATGATTTTTTCATTACTCGAGGGGGTCTGGGACGGAGGAGGATCCTGATCTCTGGAGGGACGAGATCGTCCTCGATCCTGGGCTGATCTCTGGGCCGCTCCTCCGGGGGGCGGCGTCCCGGATGGCCGCGCGGGGCCTTCCCGGAGCAGCCGGGGGCCACCTCGGGCCAGGGGGGCCACCTCCGGCGGCGCTCGGAGGGAGGGGCAGCGGTGTCCGGAGGGGGGGGGGGAGAGAGAAGAGGTGGGGGGATGGGCTCGGAGCTCCGTGAGGCGAGGGGAGAAGAGGGGAGGGGAGGGAGGGGGGGAGAAGAGGGAGGGGAGGAGAGGTGAGGGGAGGGGGGGGGGGAGGAGGAAGGGGAGGGGAAGAAGAGGTGAGGGAGGGGGGGGGGGGGAGAAGAGGGGAGGGGAAGAAGAGGGGAGGGGCTCGGACGGTCGGGGGAGCTTTGGCTCGGCGCTCGGCGCGCCGCTCCCCCCGTTCTGGCCCCACCGCGCCTCGGCGCGAGGCGCTATCCCCGTCGCGGCCCCCGGGCGTCAGCGTTCCGAGCTCTTCCCGACCTCCCGCCCCGCGGAGCGGAGCGGCACGCTGTCCGCTTGCACAGTCGATCCGCCTACGTAGTAAGTCAGGAGGGGAAGAAACACACAGACACAATTAATCCTCGATTCCCCAGAAAATATGGGAAAATATGGGCAGTGGGGGGGAAGACAAAAACCCAGAAAATATGGGAAAATATGGGGACTATGTTTATTTGTGTGTATTTATTTGTGTGTCCTAATTTCCCTTTAGTAAGGATGGGCACCCTTTCCAAGGGTACCTTTGCACCCTGGCCTCCTTCGGAAAGCTTCGAAACGGGCGTCCAAGGCCCTTGCATCCTGATCGCGCATCCGTACTACACGGGGTGAGGAGGCCGGGGCCGCCGCATCGACGCTGAGCAAGATTTGCTGGCCGTAATCCGAGTCTCGATCAGCATCGTGGATCAGAGATACGTTTGGTTGCTTTGACCACGATATCTCCGCGCGGCATGTATTGCCTTTTGCAGCGCCTCTCTCAAGAAAAAGTGGCCATGGGAGCATCTTTGCGTTCTCTGCGATCCAGCTGCATAGTATAAATCCCACCACGCTGCCAGGGCGGCATTGACACGCAGGCAGGACCACTCGTGGGCCTCCTGGGTCTTCCCGCTGCGATGTTGTGGCGTGGCGCACCCGTCATGTTGCGTAGTTGTCGCGTTCTCTCGTGCGGGAGGGGGGGGCGCGTTTGAGACCAACTGTTAAGTCGGGCCTGTCCCTCTGCAGGAGGAATATTCAAAAATAGTCAAACAATAGTCTGGGGACTATTTGTTGACTATCGTTGAGCATCTCGGGAGTATTTTGTTTGAGTCTCTTGTTGTTTCGCCCAAAATCCCCCTGTCGGGGGACAGGCCCGACCTAAACCAACTGGGACCCCCGCCACGTGGCCGGCCACGAAGCCGTGGCCCTCTGCCAGCTCTCCCAGAGGGTGCCCGGTCGAGCAGGCGTGGGGGGGCGGGGGGCCGTCTGGGCTGGTGCTAGGGCCGCCCGCGAGCCCTCCTTCAGCGACGGGTTGCCCTCCTCCTCCTCCTCCTCCTCCTCCTCCTCCTCCTCCTCCTCCTCCTCCTCCTCCTCCTCCTCCTCGGGTGTTCTCGGGACGTTTGGGGGAGCACTCGAGGGGCATCTCGCGCTTTCCGGAAGGCCCAGAGGCAAGGCAATCTTTCGCCGAGCGGTGCTGGAAACGGCGGAGGAGGAGGTCCGTGGCAAGGTGGGAATGCATTGCCGGTTGCCCCCCAAAGGTCTCCGTGTAGGCCTCCTTGAGCTCTTCGCGGGGCATCTCGGTTCTAGGCTCTAGGGGCACATGCAGGCTTGTCTTTGGGGGCGTCTGGTCAGGTCTCGAGGCCGTGCATTGTGAGCCTGCTGGAGATGTCGACCAAGGGTCGTGTATCTGGGCACGGAGATTGCTTCTTGGGAAGCCGTAGGACCAAGCCTTTAGCTCAGGCAGAACCTTCAGACATTCTGGTTCAAGATGTCCCTGGATGTCAGACACCCGGCGGGGATCTCGACCGGGTGTTTCTCACCGCGGGGCGGCCGCATCGACGCGCGGGAGGACACAGGAGTGGAGCGCAGCGCTGCAGTCGCTGCGCGAGGCATCCCAGCAATGCGTGAGGATCAGCGCAGGCCGCTACGTCGCGGCCGCCAGCGCGTGTGGGAAGGGCGAGCAGTGGCAGTGGGCGCTGTCGCTTCTCGGCGAGCTGGTTGAGGCGAAGGTGGAGCCCACCGTCATTGACCGAGCCTCCTCTCATGCTGGGCGCCGCACGTGCCAAGACGGCACCGGCCTCACGGAGGGAAGGACACTGCTCGGGGGGCCCCGGCGCGTTCCCGCGCGACCTCAAGACAGGCCCAGACGGCGGGGCGGGGCTTTCTGGAGCTCGGGGGGGGGCCACATCCAGCTCCCAGGGCCGCAGGAGTGCCCAAGATGCTCCCACGATCGCTTCGAGGGGTCCCCATCAGATCCCTGCATCGACAAGCCACGCTGACGCCCTGGACTCAACGGACACATGAACAGGTCCGGAGACCTTCAGCAGCCGCAGAGCAAGTAGCGCAGGCAGCACGCAGCAGCGGCAGTCGTCAAGCTCATGCAACAGCAACCAACACTGCAAGCGGCAGCAACCACCAGCCCGCAGCACGCAGCAAGAGCAGCAACCAGCAGCACGCAAGGCAGCGGACGGCAATCAGCGACCATACGGCGGTAATCATCAGCAAGAGGCCGCAACAGGCAGCAGCAAGCGGCAACAGTTGCCAGCAATGGCAGCGAGGAGCCGCAAACAGTAGCAATACACCGCAGTCAGTAACGAGCAGCGGCAGGCATCGGCAAGCAGCCGTAAGAAGCATCACACAGCAGCGAGCACTAACAATCATCGCAGCGCAGCAGCAAGGTGCAGCAAGCGGCAGCAAGCGGCAGCGTGCTGCAGCAACACGCAGCAAGCCACGGGTTCGCGTAGACGCTGCGGTGCTCGGACAGCCCCGCAGATGCTACGTTCTGGCATGCTGCGTTGCATCCGCCGTTCCGTGCCGCGAACTACAGTCAAAACCGATAATTCGGATGGGTCACCTTCCCAGGGGGGGGCCTTGCATCCTTGCCTCTCGAGTTCATCCTTGGCTACTTTAGATGGCCCGCCGCGCTCAAAAAAGCCTCAACACAGGCTTCCAAGGGGCTGGCATCCTTATCGCGCATCCTTCTTATCAGTTTTGGCATCAGCGCGTCCTCTCGGGTGGTGGTCTGTTGCCCAGATCTTTCTCGTGTCCGCCGCGCAGTGCCGCCGCCGAGCCCTACTGCCCGAGGTGTGCTATAGCGGCGGGTTCGCCGCAGCATCCACATTTCCGTGACAGTCCGTTGATTTGGACCAAAGTCCACAGGCCCAAAGACAGCCGAGGACAGCCGAGGATGCCCCACGGGTCTCCTGAGGTCTCCAGCAGCAGCAGCAGCTTCGGGCAGTCAGCGGCCGCAAGCCTCCACAAAAAGCAGCGGCCATGAGCAGCAAACAGCAGCAACGAGCAACCGCCGCAAGTGACACGCAGCAGCAATCAACATTAAGCAGCACCACCAGCAATCAGGCAGCAGTCAGGCAGGAAGTGAGGAACAGCAGGCAAAGAGAAGCAATCGGCAGCAGACGACCAGCAGCGAGCACGCAGCAGCAAGCAAACAGCAGAAAGCACTGCAACGCTACAGGCAGAGGCAAGCACGTGCTGGGCACGCTTGCTTCCGGGGGCGGAGTCCACAGGACAGCTCCAGTCTCTTCAGCGCAGGACCCTGCGCGAGGCATGGAGCTAGAACTGGTTCGCTGAGGCCCCCGACGGCCCGAAGAGCCCGAGAAACACCCCTGAAGGTTTCGGGAGCAGTCCTGGGGGCTCTTGATTGCCCGAAGTGCCCCAAGACGTCTCCAGGCGGCTCTGTGGAGGCCTTTCAGTTGAGGGCCCCCAGGCGACCCCACAGGAGACGTCCCAAGACAACGCCGATGGTTCTGCCGAGGGCCCCGACAGGGGAAAATTACAGAATGCCTTCCGGTCATTGCTACATTTCACGACTCTCCTCTTGTCGGCTCCAGATCGCTCCGCAAAAGGCCCGAGGCACCTTCAAGAGGGCCCCTGAAGCCCGCAAGAGCTCCCAGGAGGGCCCGAGATGGCCCCAGCTTCCCCCCTAATCCACACCTTGGCATCGTTCGGACGTGTGCATGCTTCCTTCGGCGAGGACCACCAAGGAGCATCCTTGATCATCTGGCGAAAAACCCACGCACGAAACCGAACAAAAACACAGGGAATGGACGTCCGAGCGATGGCCAGACGCGCGCACCAGCTCGCGGGGGCCCTGGGGGCGCCCAGCTGGTCCAGGCGGCGCAGGAGGGCCCCAGCGTCGCTCCACGCCTCCTCGCTCCTCAGCCACTGCTCCTCGCTCCTCCCGTCCGTCCCCGCTCCGCGCGCACCTTCTGCCTCGCCCCTTCGCCCCTCGCCCCTCCCTCCTGGCCCCTCGCTCCTCCCTCGTGGCCGCTCGCGCCTGCCTCCTCCCCTCTGCGGCCCTCCTCGGCCGCCGCTCCTCCCACCTCGCTCCCCTGCTTCCCGCTCCTCGCGTCCCCCTCCCCGCCCCTGAGTCCTCGCCCCCCCCTGCCCCTCGCTCGGCCAGCCTCCCTTCGAGCAGCGGGGGCCTTCGGCCAGCAGGAGCACTGCGAGGGAGTGCCTTGCAGCACCTGGCCGCGGCAGCGCACGGCAACGGCACGAAGCGAGCGGCGCACGCGGCAGCGGCAAGCGACAGCAGCGTGCAGCAGGCAGCAGCACCCTGCAGCCACACTCATACAGCAGCAGCAAGCAGCAGCGGCAACAGCAGCCCACGGCGGCGCCAGGCCGCATCGAGCAGCAGCACACAACGGCCAACACCAACCCGTAGCGGCGAGGAAGATCAGCATGTGCTTAGAAGATTGCGGCATGCAGCACCATTGGTCAGCAAGCGGCAGACAGCACAAGAAGCAAGCATCGCAGACAGCTGGCGATCTGGCCAAAATCTATCAGGTCACCGGGCCAGCAACCACGCCAGCAGGACAGCAAGCGAGCAGACAAGCGGGCAAGCGACCTTCGCCTTTTCATGCGGTCTCGCTTTCATGGATGGTAATCCACGGAGCCCCCCTGGCAGTTCCCCAAGGATCCCTGGCGCTCTTCCGAGCCCCTCGCTCCTTGCTCTTCTCATTCATCGCCGGTCGCTCATCTCTCCTGGCCCCTCCCTCCTCGCTCCTGGTTGCAAGCTCCTTCCCTGCCCTTCCTCGAAACTCCCCCACGCCAGACCACGCGCCCCCCTCGAGAGCCTCACGAGCGCCGCAGGGAGCCCCGCGACGGTCTCGCTCGCTCCTCCTCCTCGCTCCCCTCTCTGCTCTTTGCTCACTTCTCGCTCGCTTTCCCCTCGCCGCTGCTTGTGCCTCGGGCCTCGGGACCTTCGGCAGCATCTTCGCCATCACGTCGCAGGCCAGTCCGAGCAGATTTCGTGGACGGTGGGGCACGGGTTGGCCCTAGTCTATCCAGTTGCCTGCGGCATACTGAGCTACCGTGGCTGTGCAACAGCGCCGCAGGAGCGGCGAGGAGGAGGAGGAGGAGGAGGAGGAGGAGGAGGAGGAGGAGGAGGAGGAGGAGGAGGAGAGGAGGAGGGGGAGGAGGAGGAGGAGGAGGAGGAGGAGGAGGAGGACAAGTTTACGACCGCTCCGCTTCACTGCCTTGTCCGTCCCCTTTGGTCCTCCTCGCCCTCCTCCTTCTCTGCACTCTGCTCTCTCCTTCTTCTTGAGGCAGGAGGCGTCTTGGAGACGTCTTGCTTTCTGGGGCCTTGCGAGGGCCTCTCGGGGGCTCCTCGGAGCCTCTTGGAGGCATGTCGGGGGCTTCCTTGGAGGCCTCTCGGAGCCTCTTGGAGGTTGCTCTGGGTCCCTCCAGGGGCCTCTTGGGGGCATCTCGGAGGTCAGGGGAGACATGCTGGAGGGAAAGGCCTCCAAGGTGTGCGAGCTCCCCACCTTGGAGCCCCCTTGGTCGACGGGCTCGGCCCCCCAAGGAGCACTTGCAAAAACCAGACACGGCCCAATGCCCAAGAGGCCCGCAAGATCGCCCCAAGACGGCCCCGAAAAGGACCCCAAGACGACCCAAGAAGGCCCCAACACAGCCCAGGAGGCCCCCAAAACGGCCGAAGAGTCGACACGCCTGCCAGGGGTAATCTCTCCTATAATGCAGCGGTCGCCGCTCGCAAAAGCCTCGAGCAGTGGCAGCGGACCGGCCCCCTCCGGCGGCCACCGGCGCTGCCCCGGGGCCCCGGCGCGCTTCCAAGATGGCTTAAGAGCGCTCCGAGCTGCCCCCAGAGGCCCCCAAGGGGGCCCGAAGACGGTCCAAGAAGGCCTCCGAGATGGTCCCAAGACAGCTGCCCGACGGCCCAAGAGGCGCCAAAAATCCGCCGAGTGGGCTCCAGAGAGAGCCCCAGGAGAGCCCGAGCAAGGACAAATCATCAGAATTCTTAAGGAAAACGTGCATTTCGGGAGTTCCCGTGCTTTTTGTCTTCGAAGCGTCCAAGACGGCCACACAGGCCCTCAAGATTGCCCCAAGACGCTTCGGGAGGTTGCCAGGAGGGCCCCAAGACGGCTCAAGACTGTGCCAGGACGACTCCTCAAGCGCCCATGGCGGCCCCAAGGGGGGGCCAGGACAGGGTGGGAGCGCTCCCGAGGGGCCCCAAGAGCGGGCCAGGAGGGCCCCAAGAGGGCCCCGACAATGCCCCGTGACTCGTGTATTTGGGCGCCCCTCTCGCAAGCTAAAGAAGCATATCAAGTACATGCGGTTTGGGGCCCTCTTGGGGCCTCCCGGGGGCGCTCCTGCGGCCCTCTGGAGGCCTCCGGGCCCCCTCTGCCACAGAAAGGCCGGGCGCCCTCTGCCACAGAGAGGCCTCTCGTGGCAGAGCGGTGGGCCCGCGCCCGGTTGGAGCCTTGGGGCCCTCTCGGCGCCCTCCTGGAGCCCTCCTCCCAGACCCCCGACGTAATGATTTTTTCATTACGTCGACCCCCAGAGGTCCCGACCCTTTCCCCATGACCGGCTTTGCATCCTGAGTCGTTTTTTGACGCTCCCGAGGCCCGGTGAGGGCCCCCGGAGGCCGAAAATTAGGAAAAACCTCCCGTCGTGATTTTTTCATTGCTCGAGGGGGTCTGGGCTGGGGGCCCTGCACGACGGCCCCAAGACGGCCCCCCCGACGCTGCCCCTCGAGGCGCCCAAGGCGGCCCCAAACGGCCGCGCGGCCCGCGGCCCCGGCGAGGACCTCACCAGGGGCGGCACGACCTTCGTCGGCATGGGGCCGCCGACCGTGCCCCGCCGCCCCGTCGCGTCCCCTCCCCAGGGGCCCAGGCGCCTCCAAAAGCTGAAGCGGCAGGTTGGGGACCCTCTCTCCTCCTCCCTCTCCTCCTCCTCCTCCTCCTCCTCCTCCTCCTCCTCACTCCTCCTCCTCCCCTCCTCCTCCTCCTCCTCCTCCTCCTCCTCTCCTTCCTCCTCCTCCTCCTCCTCCTCCTCCCTCCTCCTCCTCCCTCCTCCTCCTCCTCCCTCCTCCCCTCCTCCTCTCCTCCTCTCCTCCCTCCTCCCTCCTCCTCTCCTCCCTCCTCCCTCCCTCCCTCCTCCCTCCTCCCTCCCTCCCTCCTCCTCCTCCTCCCTCCTCCCTCCTCCCTCCTCCCTCCTCCTCCTCCTCCTCCGCCTCCTCCTCCTCCTCCTCCTCCTCCTCCTCCTCCTCCTCCTCCTCCTCCTCTCCTCCTCCTCCTCCTCCTCCTCCTCCTCCTCCTCCTCCTCCTCCCTCCTCCTCCTCCCTCCTCCCTCCTCCCTCCTCCCTCCTCCCTCCTCCCTCCTCCCTCCCCTCCTCCTCCCTCCCTCCCTCCTCCCTCCCCCTCCTCCCTCCTCCCTCCTCCCCTCCTCCTCCTCCCCTCTCCCTCCTCCCTCCTCCTCCTCCCTCCTCCCTCCTCCCTCCTCCTCCTCCCTCCTCCTCCTCCCTCCTCCCTCCTCCCTCCTCCCTCCTCCCTCCTCCCTCCTACCCTCCTCCCTCCTCCCTCCTCCCTCCTCCCTCCTCCCTCCTCCCTCCTCCTCCTCCTCCTCCTCCTCCTCCTCCTCCTCCGCGTTTCCCAAGCCACTTATTACGCCCCGGGGCCGTCCAGCATCTACTCAGGACGAAAACCAGACCTGGGGCGGTCGCCTGCAGACCCACCCATGGTTCGGCAACCCCCGCCGCCAGCGGCAGCAAGCAAGGGTGCACACTGGTCAGCTACAGCGCTGGGATCAGCGCGTGCGAGACGGGAAAGCAGTGGCAGCGGGCGCTTGCGCTGCTCAGCGAGATGTGGGAAGCGAGGGTGGAGCTCGACGTCATGAGCTACAATGCTGGGATCCGCGCTTGCGGAAGGGGCGAGCAGTGGCAGCGGGCTCTGGTGTTGCTTAGCGAGATGTCGGATGCGAAGTGGGATCCCGACGTCCTCTCCTGTACAATACCGCATGCAGGGCGTACGAAACCTACGAGCAGCATTTCTGGCTTCGGGGGGGCGACATGGGCACGGTCTGCCCGAAGACGCTCTTGGAGGCACCCGGGCGCCCCGAAGAGACCCCGAAGAGACCTTTGAGAGCGCCGTCAGGCGGTCCAAGATGCCCCGACAAGCTGGTTCGACTGCCCCCGCACGCCCGAGGGACACCGCGATGAGCACGGATGGTATCCGCAACTTGCTCTCACAAGAACGCTTCAAGGTGGGCTCCGCAGGCTTCCGACAGTCCTGCAGAGACCCTTCAGAGGCTTCAGAGGCTCCGAGAGGGCCCCAGGCGCTCCCAGGATGGCCCCAGCTGCCGCACCTGACCTCCGAGCCGGCCCCGAGGCGGCTCTCGGACGGTACCAGGCCGCCCCAGTCCGAGGAATCCCCCCGCGGCCTGAGATTGTCGGCCAAGAAGCCCCCGCGCGACTCCCAGGCAGCGCCACGAGTGCGCGCGAGGGCCCCAGGAGAGCCCAAGACGGCCGCGTGCAGGCCCCCGAGCAGGACCCGAGCCGGCCCCGAGGGCACCCCGCAGCCCGCGCAGGGCCCCCGAGCTTACGAGACCACGTGCCGTCGCAGCAAATGCGCAGCAACATGCGAGCCAGGTAACCCCCAGAGGCGCAAAGGGATTCGCGCTTCGCGCATCGCGGCTTGGGTTGGAGAGGCACCCTTCTCCAGGGCGGCTGCGCGAGGGCGCGAAGACAACCGCGCGGCGCGTATCGCGGGGTGCGATGCGAGATGTCAGGTGAGCTAGGCAAGAGCATTCGGCTGCTATCCCGTGTGGACCGTTTCTCTACGCGGCGTGTCTGTCAGGGTCGTGCGCGATTCTCCCGAGGCCAGGCGCGAGTCCTCCCGGACACGGACTTGGCGGCCGGTGGTCTCCCGTGTGGTCCTCTCTTATGGTCTCCCATGTGCAGTGTCCCAGGAGGAGGGGGAGGAGGAGGAGGAGGAGGAGGAGGAGGACGAGGAGGAGGAGAGGGAGGAGGAGGAGGAGGAGGAGGAGGAGGAGGAGGAGGAGGAGGAGGAGGAGGAGGAGGAGGACTTCGAGGGAGAGAGGGGTTGGCACCCCTTCCTCGGCGGAAGGCCGGCGGGAGTGGGGCGGGGGCGGCTCCGCCGGCGGAAGCAAGAGCTGCACCCCCCCTTGAGAACGGCAGGTTGGGGGGGGCATTCCCAGGTGGCTTCCCGTCCGGTCTCCTGTGCGGTTCCGCTCATGGTTTCCGCGCGGTTTCCCGTATGGATTCCCTCATGGTTTCCCGTCTGGTCTCCCCCAGGGTCTCCCTAGAGTCTCTCATCCATGCGGTTTCCCGTACAGCCTCCCCGCTGTTGTTGTCATGTTGGTCTCCCATGCGTGTTTGTTGCATGGTCTCCCATATGATTTCCATGCTGGTCTCTCCGCAGTGCTTCCTGAAGCATTATGTACTACTCTCTACTCTCTCTCTCTCACTCTCTCTCTCTCTCCCTCTCTCGCCCTCGCTCTCTCTCTCTCTCTCTTTGTATCTCTTTTTTTTTTTCTCTCTCTCTCTCTCTCTCTTTCTCTCTGCTCACCGCTTCGCAACGTCAATAGCCAGCGTCCTGGGGGCGGCCGACTACGGACGCGCGGGGGTCACTCAATCAGGCGCAGCCCTTCCGTCAGGCCAGGGCGCGGCGCCTCTCGCGCCAGCCCCGAGAAGGGCGCCCCGCAGACCCCCAACCGCAACGCGGCCAGCGGCGGACGCGGGCAGGCACGCGAGCGACGAAGCACGCCGCGCGCGAGGCGCGGGAGGGGCACCTGCCCACCGAGCACCACTCCAACGGCGTGATGGCTCGACCCCAGCCACGGATCGGGCGACGAGTGGACGGCGAGGGGGAGGGCCCCCGAGCGAGCGGCCCCACGGTGCGAGACAAGCCCCCCGCAGTGCCAAGCCGCGGGGGGCGAGAGGGGCGGGGGAGAAGAGGAAGGGAGGACGAGAGGGGCAGGAGGGGGGACGGGGGAGGCGGCTCGGCACGCCCAGGGGGAGCCCGCAGCAAGGCCGAGGCGGGGAACCCCGGAGGGCCGACCCCACCCCAGCCTCCCAGTTCCCCGAAGGGCCAGCCGTGAGACACACACACACACACACGCACGCACGCACTTACACACACACACACACACACACACGCACCACACACGCACCCACACACGTATATACACATATATATATATATACACATATATATATATATATGTATATATATGTATATATATATATATATATATATATATGGTCGGCGGGTCGAGAGCGGGCCTCTCCCGGTCAAGAGCTAAGCGGGGCGCGCAAAGCACTAATTGGGGAGACAGGGCGCGGGCGGGCGGGGCCTCAGGCGGCCGGAGGGTGCGGAGTACAGGCGGTGCCGAAGAGCTTGCACAGGAAAAGGTACGCCTTGGACAGGAGCCGGGGCGAAGTCCCGGAGGGAGAGCGAAGTGGTGTTGCCGTCAACGGCGCGCCAGGACCACCATCCTCGAGTGCTGCGTGGGGAGGACCGTGACCAGGTCAACGCCCGTGAGGTAGAGGAAGACCAGGTAAGCGAAGTGCACCAGGTGCCACCGACTGGTAAGGAGAGGCCCAGGAGATGAGGAAGACCACGAAGGCGATGTGCAACGTTGTGCCACCGGGTGGTCAGTAGCGGCCTGGGGTGGTAGTCCAATCCACGTCCAGGTAGCAGCCAAGAGGTCCGGCCTGAAAGCCGACTGTGTCCGCCTGCCGTGGGCCGGGCCTGAGCCGCGCTGCCCAGGGTGCGCGGGGCCGCCGAGGCGGCAAGGTACAGTGCCAGCACCGGGCCAGAGCCGCGTTGTGCCGGGCGCCGCCGCCGCCATGGGAGGGGGGGAAAGCGAGCGGGGAGGGAAAAAGCGAACAGGGAGGAGAGAGGCCAGTGTCCCACGCCAGCCGGAGTCCCGCCAGCGTGCACCGAGGTGCCCGCGTGGGGACACGCACACACACACACACATTCACACACACACGCACATACACACACACACACACACACGCACGCACGCACGCACGCACGCACGCACGCACGCACGCACGCACGCACGCACGCACGCACGCGCGCGCGCGCACACACACACACACACACACACACACACACACACACACACACACACACACACACACACACACACACACACACACACACACACGCACACGCGCTGGGGGCCCCGCCCCAAGTTCCCCACAGCCCCCCGCCGGAGCGCAGGGGGTTTGTATCCCGGAGTCCTCCAGGCTCCGGCAGCCGCCTTCCCCACCCTGCTTGACAGGGCGGAGGGTGTCCCAGCTAACCCGGGTGCTCCACGGGCCCCAGTCCACGGGGGGGCATCGCTCTCTCTCTCTCTCTCTCTTCCTTTCTTTATTTGTTTGTTGATACCTCTCTCTCTACATATATATATGTATATATATACATACATGTGTATATATACACGTATATATATATATATATATAAACATATATATATATATACACATATATTCATCCCCACATTTTAATGTATGAGCAACAGGGGAGAGGGATGGACGCCGAACCGAAACCGTTCGGCTCAAGGTCGAGCCCACGCGTTCCATGGAAACGCTCCTCGCCCAAGTGGGGCCGGAGATTCTTCGGGGGTTCGGCATAGGAGTTGCCGTTCGCGCAGCTGGGCAGGAGTGCCAGTCGTGCTATTGTGGCTGCCCTCCCTGCACGTGCTCGGTGACGTGCCCCACGTGTCCAACAGTGCACTGCGGGGACGCGGCCTCCATCGGGCCAGCGGCGGGGCCGTTGCTGGTGGGGCTCGGCGCCGCGCCGGCGCACGCGCGCAGCCTCTGCCATGGCGCCGTCTGCGTGCGCGGCGGGCTGCTTCAGCGCTGCCCGTGCCGACGCGGACACGGCTGCCGCGGCTGCCGAGCCAGTGCGCTGACACCGTGTCGAAGCAGGGCGAGGAGGCTGAGCTGCGGGCCGTGGCACTCGAGGAGCTGCGGCAGGTGCGTGCTCGGCGGTCACAGTGATGGCCATTCCCGTGCTCAACGGCGTGGCGCTGGGTGGCCTGGAGGAGGGCGACTTCTACCTGGTCAGGTAGGGAGTGAGAGGTGCTCCCTTGTGGCACGAACGCGTGTGCGTCTACATCCCGCGCGGCCTCGCCGGGGGTGTCATCACCGGCTACACGCCGAACGGCGACCACTACGAGGAGGACCTGGCGCCGGGGGGCGACTTCTTGGCGTGGTGCCTCGTGCCCGGGGGCGCGCAAAGCGGCGCGGCGCCCGCCGCGGCGGGCGGCCCCGCGGCCCGCGCGTACCGCTTCCGAGCGGTGCCTCTGGCGGCCGAATTGGGCGCCGCGCGGGACGCGGCCGCGGCCCGCTTCGGCGCGGCTGCGCCGGGCCTGCCCGTCGCCCCCAATACTGGAGGCGTGCGGGCGCCCCGCCTGGCGGCATGGGCGCGCTGGGAGCTCCGCCAGCGGCGACTTTGGCGCTTGCGGCGGTCCCCCTTGCCCCGCCTGGCGGGGACGGCGGCGCGCCGCTGGCTGGTGGTGGAGTCGACGGCGGGCTTGCAGCCCTTGCGGCTGTTCTGGGACCTGGAGGCGGGGCCGTGGCGCCTGGCGCCGGAGCCGGTGGAGGCCTCGTGGGGTTCCCCGCCGTCGGGCCCGCCGCGCCTGTGGCCCCTGTGCTGGGCGCGCTGGTGGCAGGCCTTGCTGGCGCCGTCGCCCCGGGCGCTGCCCTGGCGCCGGCGGCGTCCCCAGCGCCCGCCCTCGTGGGCGCGCCAGCCGCCGTGGCGGCGCCCGCCCCTGTTGGCGCGCCAGCGCACGCCCCGTCGGACCTGCGGGTGCACCCCGTCGTGCTGGATGCTATGGCGAGAAGGCGCCGGCCTTTCAGTGACTCACTGGCGCTGCTGACGGAGACACCCTGGGCCGATTGGCCCGTTCGCGGGCCGCGGGCGCTCAAGTGGGTGTACCACTTCCTGTCTATCAACGGCGGCAGTCCCGTCGCTCGCCATCATCGGTGGAAGACGGATTGCCGACTG